TTCCCCCAAAATTCAATTTTTTATCCCAATTTTTCCCCCTAAAAAATTCAATTTTATTCCAAAAAATCCAATTTTTTCATCCAAAAAACCCCAAATTTTGACCCAAAATTTTCATTTTTTAACCCAATTTACCCTCAAAAAAATTCAATTTTTTCCCTCTAAAATCCCCAATTTTTAACCAAAAATCTTCATTTTTTCACCCAAAATCCTCCCAAAAATTCAATTTTTTACCCCAAATTTCCCCAAAAATTCAATTTTTAACCCAAAATTTCCTCAAAAAAATTCAATTTTTTTACCCCAAAATTCTCCCAAAAATTCAATTTTTTACCCAAAATTCCTTTAAAAATTCAATTTTTTTCCAAAAAATCCAATTTTTTCTCTTAAAAAATCCAAATTTCCCCCCAAAAAAACCCAAATTTTGACCCAAAATTTTCATTTTTTACCCCAATTTACCCTTTAAAAAAATTCAATTTTTTCCCTCTAAAATCCCCATTTTTTAACCAAAAATCTTAATTTTTTCACCCAAAATCCCCCAAAAAATTCAATTTTTTGCCCCAAATTTCCCCAAAAAATTCGATTTTTAACCCCAAATTTCCCCCAAAATTCAATTTTTTAATCCCAATTTTTATCCCAATTTTCCCCTAAAAAATTCAATTTTCTTCCAAAAAATCCAAATTTTCCCCCCAAAAAAAACCCGAATTTTGACCCAAAATTTTAATTTTTTAACCCAATTTACCCTCAAAAAAATTCTATTTTTTCCCTCTAAAATCTCCATTTTTTAACCAAAAATCTTCATTTTTTCACCCAAAAATTCAATTTTTTACCCCAAATTTCCCCCCCAGGTGTTGTTTTCCCCAAATTTCGGAATTTCCCCCAAAAAGTCCCAATTTCCCCTTTTTTTGTTGTTTTCGAAACTTTTTTTGGGGCCAAATTTCCCCTTTTTGGGGCCTCTTCGCTTTCGCTTCCCCATCGAAAATTTGGGGGAAAAAAGGGAAAAAATTCAATTTTTAATCCCAAATTAATCGGTTTTAATTGGATTTTTAATTAGGATTTAATTAGGTTTTAATCAGATTTTTAATTGAGTTTTTAATCGACTTTAAATTGATTTTTAAACAGATTTAATTCGAATTTTAATCGATTTTAATTGGATTTTTAATTATGTTTTAATTAGGTTTTAATCAAATTTTTAATTGAGTTTTTAATCAAATTTAAATTGATTTTTAATCAGTTTTAAATCAAATTTTAATCGATTTTAATTGGATTTTTAATCAATTTTAATTGGGTTTTAATCTGATTTTTAATCAGTTTTTAATCAATTTTTAATTCACATTTTATTAATTTTAATTTGATTTTATTCAATTTTAATTTGATTCTTACTCCAATTAATTTGGGTTTTAATTGAGTTTTAATTTATTTTAATTTGATTTATCATTGAATTTTCATCAATTTTTCATCAATTTTTAATCAATTTTTATTAATTTCAATCAAATTTTAATCTATTTTATTTTGATTTTTATTCCATTTTAATTGGGTATTAATCTGATTTTTAATTGAATTTTTTAATTGACTTTAATTTGATTTTTAATCCGTTTTAAATCAAATTTTAATTGATTTTTAATCAAATTTTAATCAATTTTAATTGGATTTTTAATAAATTTAAATTGGGTTTTAATCTGATTTTTAATTGAATTTAATTTGTTGTTTAATTGACTTTAATTTGATTTTTAATCCATTTTTAATCACGTTTTAATCAAAATTTTAATAATTTTAATGGCGTTTGAATCGATTTTAATTCGATTTTTAAATGGATTTTTAATCCAATTTTAATCAAAAAATTTGATTTTTAATCGAATTTTTTCAACCTAAAAATCAAAATTTTTCACCTAAAAAAATTCAATTTTTCACCCTAAAAAAATCCGAATTTTTCAACCTAAAAATATGAATTTTTCACCTTAAAAAAATTAAATTTTTGCCCTTAAAAATTCGATTTTTTCACCTAAAAAAATTCAAATTTTTAGACCTAAAAACCCGAATTTTTTACCCCTAAAAAATCAAATTTTTGCCCATAAAATTTTGAATTTTTCACCTAAAAAATTCAAATTTTTGGACCTAAAAACCCGAATTTTTTAATCCCTAAAAAATCAAATTTTTGCCCCTAAAAATACTATTTTTTCACCTAAAAAAATTCAAATTTTTGTCCCTAAAAATTCGAATTTTTCACCTTAAAAATGCAAATTTTTGTCCCTAAAAATTCAAATTTTTATCCTTAAAAATTCAAATTTTTACCCATAAAAAAATTGAAATTTTGTCCCTAAAAATATTATTTTTTCACCTAAAAAAAATCAAATTTTTGTCCCTAAAAATTCGAATTTTTACCCCTAAAAATTCAATTTTTTGCCCTTGAAAATTCAAATTTTTACCCTTAAAAATTCAAATTTTTGTCCCTAAAAATTCAAATTTTTGCCCTTAAAATTCAAATTTTTACCCCTAAAAAATCGAATTTTTGTCCCTAAAAATTTGATTTTTTCACCTAAAAAAATTCAAATTTTTGTCCCTAAAAATTCATTTTTTCACCTAAAAAAATTCACATTTTTAGACCTAAAAACCCGAATATTTTACCCCTAAAAAATCAAATTTTTGCCCCTAGAAATTCGAATTTTTCACCTAAAAAAATTGAATTTTTGTCCCTAAAAATATTATTTTTTCACCTAAAAAAATTCAAATTTTTGTCCCTAAAAATTCAAATTTTTCGCCTTAAAAATTCGATTTTTTGTCCCTATAAATTCAGATATTTGTGTTTAAAAAATACAAATTTATGTCCCTAAAAATTCGAATTTTACACCTAAAAAATTTCAAATTTTTGCCCTTAAAAATCCGATTTTTTCACCTAAAAAATTCAAATTTTTATCCCTAAAAATTCAAATTTTTACCCCTAAAAAATCGAATTTTTGTCCCTAAAAATATTATTTTTTCACCTTAAAAAATTCAAATTATTATCCTTAAAAATTCAAATTTTTACCCATAAAAAAATTGAAATTTTGTCCCTAAAAATATTATTTTTTCACCTAAAAAAAATCAAATTTTTGTCCTAAAAATTCAAATTTTTACCTTAAAAAATCCCATTTTTTTTCCCGCCAAATCCCCCCCCCCCCCCATTTTCCCGCCAAACGCTCCCGGGGGGGTTTGAGGAGAATTTTGGGGTGAATTTGGGGGATTTTGGGATTCAAAATTTGGGGGGAAAATTTTAAAATTTGGGGTAAAAAAAAATTCTAAATTTTGGGGAAAAAAATCTGAATTTTGGGGTAAAAATCGCGATTTTTTGAGGGGATTTTGGGGTTAAAATCGGAATTTTGGGGGTAAAAAAAATTGAATTTTGGGGGGGTTTTGGGGTTAAAAATCGGAATTTTGGGGTAAAAAAAATTCGGAATTTTGAGGAAAAAAATCAGAATTTTGGGGTTAAAAAAATCGCGATTTTTTGAGGGGATTTTGGGGTTAAAATCGGAATTTTTGGGGTAAAAAAATGGCGATTTTGGAGGGGGGATTTTGGGGTTAAAAATCGGAATTTTGGGGTGAAAAAATCTGAATTTTGGGATAAAAAAATCAGATTTTTGGGGTAAAAAAAAAATCAGAATTTTGGGGCAATTTTGGGGTGAAAAATGACAATTTTGGGGTTAAAAATCGCAATTTTTGGGGTGAAAAAAATCAGAATTTTGGGGTGAAAAAATGGGAATTTTTGGGACAATTTTGGGGTGAAAAATGAAAATTTTGGGGTGAAAAAAAATCAGAATTTTGGGATAAAAAAAATCAGAATTTTGGGGTAAAAAAATCAGAATTTTGGGGCAATTTTGGGGTGAGAAATGAAAATTTTGGGGTAAAAAAAATCAGAATTTTGCGGTGAAAAAATGGGAATTTTTGGGATGATTTTGGGGTGAAAAATGGGATTTTTGGGTGAAAAATGAGAATTTTGAGGTGAAAAATCGCGATTTTGGGTGTGAAAAATGGGAATATTTGGGATGATTTTGGGGTGAAAAATGGGAATTTTGGAGTGAAAAAATCGGAATTTTGGGGTTAAAAATGGGAATTTTGGGGTTAAAAATGGGAAATTTGGGATAATTTTGGGGTGAAAATTTTGGATTTCCGGTAAAAAGTCGCCATTTTTGGGGGGAAAAATGGGAATTTCGGGATGAAAAATTGAAATTTTGGGGTGAAAAATGGGAATTTCGGGTGAAAAGTCGCCATTTTGAGGTGAAAAGTCGCGATTTTTGGGGTAAAAAAGCGGAATTTTGGGATAATTTTGGGGTGAAAAATCGGAATTTCGGGGTGAGAAAGGGAATTTGGGATAAATTTGGGCTGAAAATGGGAATTTTGGGGTGAAAAACGGGAATTTTGGGGTGAAAAATGGGAATTTTGGGGTGAAAAATGGGAATTTCGGGTGAAAAGTCGCCATTTTGGGGTGAGAAATCGCGGGTTTTGGGGCGAAAAATGGGAATTTTTGGACAATTTTGGGGTGGAAAATGGGAATTTCGGGACGAAAAAGGGATTTTTGGATAATTTTGAGGTGGAAAAGGGGAATTTTGGGGTGAAAATGGGAATTTTGGGGTGAAAAGGCGCCATTTTGAGGTGAAAAGTCGCCATTTTGGGGTGGAAAATCGCGATTTTTGAGGCGAAAAATGGGAATTTTGGGACAATTTTGGGGTCAAAAATGGGAATTTCGGGACGAAAAAGGGAATTTGGGATAATTTGGGGGTGAAAATGGGAATTTTGGGGTGAAAAAGGGGAATTTTGAGGTGAAAAATGGGAATTTCGGGCGAAAAGGCGCCATTTTGAGGGGAAAAGTCGCCATTTTGGGGTGGAAAATCGCGATTTTTGAGGCGAAAAATGGGAATTTTGGGAGAATTTTGGGGTGGAAAATGGGAATTTCGGGACGAAAAAGGGAATTTGAGATAATTTTGGGGTGGAAAAGGGGAATTTTGGGGTGAAAAAGGGGAATTTTGGCTCACCTCGGCTGACGGTGACGACGGTGCCGCTGCCCCAGGCGTCAATAGCGACCCACGGTGGGCGGGGCCCGGCGAGAGCCCGCGCAAAATCCCGCGAGAATACAGGGAAAGGCGGGAAAAGGGGGGAAATGGCGGGAAAATGGGGGAATGGCGGGAAAAGGGGGAAAGGGCGGGAAAATGGGAAAAAAGGCGGGAAAATGGGGGGAAATGGCGGGAAAATGGGGGAAAGGGCGGGAAAATGGGGGAAGGGGCGGGAAAATGGGGAAAAATGAGGGAAAATGAGGGAAAATGGAGGGGAAATGGGGAAAATGAGGGAAATGGGGGAAATGGAGAAAAAAATTTGGGAAAATTGGGAAAAAATTGGGAAAAAACGTGAGAAAGGGGGGGAAAACGGGAAAATGGGGAAAAGGTGGGAAAATGGGGGGAAATGGGGAAAAATGGGGGAAAAAACGCGAGAAAATGGGGAAAAAACAGGGAAATGGTGAAAAAAACGGGGAAATCGGGGGAAACTGCGGGAAAATGGAGCAAAAAATGGGAAAATTGCGGGGAAAAAAACACGGAAAAACGGGGGAAAATGGGAAAATGGAGGGAAAAAATGTGGGGAAATGGGGAGAAAACGCGGGGAAATAGGGAAAAACCGGGAAAATTGGGGAAAAAATGAGGGGAAATGAGGAAAAAATGAGGGGAAATGGGAAGGAAAAAAATCTGGGAAAATGGGGAAAAGACGCGTGAAAATGGGGAAAAATGGGAAAATGAGGGAAAATGGGGGGAAAATGGAGGAAAAACGCGGGAAATGGGGAAAAATTAGGAAAAATGGGGGAAAATGGGGGGAAAAATGGGAAAATGGGGGAAAATGGAGGGAAATGGGGGGAAATGGGGAAAATTAAGGAAAATGAAGGAAAATGGGAAAAGGGCAGAAAAATGGGAAAAATGAGGGAAAATGGGGAAAAAATGGGGGTGAAATGGGGGGGAAACGCGGGAAATGGGGAAAAAAATGGGGAAAAAACGCAAGAAAATGGGGAAAAACCGGGAAAATGGGGAGGAAAAAAACCACGGGAAAATTGGGGGAAAAAAACGGGAAAATGAGGAAAAACCGGGAAAATGGAGAAAAAAATTCGCGGGAAAATGGAGGAAAAATACACGGGAAGATGGGGGAAAAATGAGGGAAAATGGGGAAAAACGCGGGGAAATGGAGAAAAAAATTCGGAAAATTGGGAAAAATGCGGGGGGGGAAAACGGGAAAATGGGGAAAAAACAGGAAAATGGGGAAAAAACGCGGAGAAATGGGGGGAAATGAGGGAAAATGCGGGAAAAGGCGGAAAATGGTAAAAATGAGGAGAAATGGGGAAAAAATGGGGGAAATGGGGGAAATGAGGGGAAATGGGGAAAATGAGGGGAAATGGGGGGAAAAGGGCGGAAAATGGGGGGAAAATGGGGGGAAATGGGAAAAAATGGGAAAAACAGGGGAAAATGGAGGAAAAATACGCGGGAAAATGGGGAAAAATGAGGGGGGGAAAAAACAGGAAAATGGGGGGAAATGAGGGGAAATGGAGAAAAAAAAACCCGGGAAAATGGGGAAAAAATGATGGAAAATGGAAAAAAAACGGGAAAATGGGGAGAAAACGGGAAAATGGGGAAAAACGCGGGAAAAATGGGGGGGAATTGCGGGAAAATGGGAAAAATGTGAAAATCGGGGAAAATCGGGGAAAATTTGGGGAAAAAAGTGCGAAAATAGAGAGAAAAACCGGGAAAATGGGGAAAAAATGAGGAAAAATGGGGGGGGAACAGGAAAATGAGGGGGAAAATGAGGGAAAATGGGGAAAAACGCGGGGAAATGGAGAAAAAAAAATCGGAAAATTGGGAAAAACGCGGGGGGAAAAAACGGGAAAATGGGGAAAAAACACGGGAAAATTGGGGGAAAACGCGGGGAAATGGGGGAAAAATGAGGGAAAATGAGGGAAAATGCGAGAAAATGGGGAAAAAAACCGAAAAAAAAACCCGGGAAAATGGAGGGGAAAACGCGGGACAATGAGGGAAAATGGGGAAAAAACGAGGGAAAATGGGGAAAAACCAGAAAATGGAGCAAAAAAAAAAAAAAGGGAAAATTGGGAAAAAATCGGGAAAAAACGCGGGAAAATGGGGGAAAAAACGGGGAAATGGGGAAAAAAATGAGGGAAAATGGGGAAAAACCGTGGGGAAAAAAATTGAGATTTTGGGAGGGAAATGGGAAAAAATGGAGATTTTTGGGAAAAAGGATGGGGAAAATTAAATGGGATTTGGGGGAAATGGGGGAAAATGGGGGAAAATGGGGAAAAAATGGGGAAAATAGAAAAAATTAATATATTTTGGGGGAAAGGGGGAAAATGAGGAAAATTCGGTGGGATTTGGGGAAAAATGGGGGGAAATGGGGAAAAATGGGGGAAATTGGGAAAATGGGGGAAAATGGGAAAAAAATGGGGAAAAAATGGGAAAAAATGGGAAAAATGGGGAAAATGGAAAAAATTTATTTTTTTTGGGGAAAGGGGGGAAATGGTGAAAATCTGGTGGGATTTGGGGAAAAATTGGGAAAAAAATGGGGAAAAATGGGGGGAAAATTGGGAAAAATGGGAAAAAATGGGGAAAAAATGGGGAAAAAGGGAAAAAATTAATATATTTGGGGAAAAGTGGGGGGAAATGGGAAAAATTGGGAGAAAAATGGGGAAAATTGGGTGGGATTTGGGGAAAAATGGGGAAAATGGGGAGAAAATGGGGAGAAAATTGGGGAAAATGGGGAAAAAGGGAAAAAAAATGAATATATTTGGAGGAAAAGAGGAAAAATGGGAAAAATTGGGGGAAAAAATGGGGAAAATGGGGAAAAATGAAGATTTTAAGGAAAAAATGAGAACAAAAAAGGGAAAAAATTCAGATTTTTGGTGTAAAAAAAGGGAAAAAAGGGAAAATCTGGGTGGGATTTGGGGAAAAAATGGCAAAAAATGGGGGAAATGGGAAAAAATGAATATATTTGAGGGAAAAGGGGGAAAATGGGGGGAAATTGGGGGAAAATCGGAAAAATGAGGAAAAAATGGGGAAAAATTGGTGGAAAAGGGGAAAAATTGGGGGAAATGGGAAAAATTGAGGGGATTTGGGGAAAATGGGGAAAAAATGGGAAAAATGGGGAGAAAAGGGGAGAAAATTGGGAAAAATGGGAAAAAATGGGGAAAAAATGGGGGAAATGGGAAAAAAATAATATATTTGGGGGAAAATGGGGGAAATGGTGAAAATCTGGTGGGATTTGGGGAAAAATTGGGAAAAAATGGGGAAAAATGGGGAAAAATGGATAAAATGAGAAAAAAATAATATATTTGGGGGAAAAGGGGAAAATGGGAAAAATTGGGTGGGATTTGGGGAAAATGGGGAAAAAATGGGAAAAATGGGGAAAAAGGGGGAGAAAATTGGGAAAAATGGGAAAAAATGGGGAAAAAATTGGGAAAATGGGAAAAAATGAATATATTTGGGGGAAAAGGGGAAAAATGGGGAAAATTGGGTGAAAATTTGGTGGGATTTGGGGAAAAATGGGAAAAAATTGGGGAAAATGGGGAGAAAAGGGGAGAAAATTGGGAAAAATGGGAAAAAATGGGGAAAAAATGGGGAAAAAGGGAAAAAATTAATATATTTGGGGAAAAGTGGGGGGAAATGGGAAAAATTGGGGGGAAATGGGGAAAATGGGAAAAATTGGGGAAAAATGGGGAAAATGGGAAAAAATGAAGATTTTAAGGAAAAAATGAGAATTAAAAAGGGAAAAAATTCAGATATTTGGTGGAAAAAAGGGGAAAAAGGGAAAATCTGGGTGGGATTTGAGGGTTAAGGGCAGGATTTGGGTTTAAAACGGCGGAATTTGGGCAAAAAGGGAATTTTGGGGTGAAAAAGGGGGATTTTGGGTTTTTGGGGCGGCGTGTGCCCCCGGGAGCAGCAGCGGCGCCGGAGCCGCTCCCACGGTGAAACGGCGGCGAACAAAAAGCGGCCCCGGTTTGGGGCCAGAAAAGGGGAAATTGGTTAAAAAGGGAAGTGGGGGAGGGGAGGGAGGGGAAATGGGGGGAAATGGGGGAAAATGGGGGAAAATGGGAAAATTTGAAGGGGATTTGGGGGAGAAATTGGGAAAAAATGGGGAAAAATATGGGAAAATGGGGGGAAATTGAAGGAAAAATAGGAAAAAATATGAAGAAAAAAGGGAAAAGTTGGGAAAAATGTGTAAAAATGGAGAAAAATGAGGGGAAAATTGGGAAAACGGGGGAAATGGGAAAAAATGGAGGAAATGGGGGAAAATGGGGAAAATTGGGGGAAAATGGGGAAAAAATGTGGGGAAATGGGGAAAATTGAGGGGAAAATAGGAAAAAATTACAAAAAAATAGGAAAAAGTTGGGGGAAAATGGAGAAAAATGTGGGGAAATGGGGAAAATGGGGAAAACTGGGGGAAATGGGGAATAATGGGGGGAAATGGGAAAAATAGGGAAAAATATGAAAAATAGGAAAAAGTTGGGGAGAAAAATGGAGAAAAGTGTGGGGAAATGGGAAAAATGAGGGAAATGGGGAAAATTGAGGGGATTTGGGAGGAAAATAGGGAAAAATGGGGAAAAATGGGGGGAAAGTGTTCCAACATTGACGGAAGAGTCTTAACCCAAGTCAACCCAACTCAACCATGATGAACCCAATGTCTTCATCCTCTTCCACCCAACCCAACCCAACCCAACCCAACCATGGCCAACCCAACCCAACCCCGTCTTCATCTTCATCTTCATCTTCGTCTTCATCTTCGTCTTCGTCTTCCTCTTCCACCCAACCATGGCCAATCCAACCCAACTCAACCATGACTAACCCAACCCAACCCCGTCTTCATCTTCCTCTTCCTCTTCCTCTTCCACCCAACCATGACCAACCCAACCCATGACCAACCCAACCCCCTCTTCCTCTTCCACCCAACTCAACCCAACCCAACCCAACCCAAACCAAACCAACCCAACTCAACCCAACCCCCTCTTCCACCCAACCATGGCCAATCCAACCCAACCATGACCAACCCAACCCAACCATGACCAACCCAACCCCCTGTTCCTCTTCCTCTTCCACTCAACCATGACCAACCCAACCCAACCCAACCCAACCCACTCCAGTCATGACCAACTCAACCCAACCATGACCAACTCAACCCAACCATGACCAACCCAACCCAACCCCCTTTTCGTCTTCATCTTCATCTTTGTCTTCCTCTTCCAATCAACCATGACCAACCCAACCCAACTCAACCATGACCAACCCAACCCCCTGTTCCTCTTCCACCCAACCATGACCAACCCAACCATGACCAACTCAACCATGACCAACCCAACCCAACCGTGACCAACCCAACCCCCTTCACTTCCTCTTCCACTCAACCCAACCATGACCAACCCAACCCCGTTTTCATCTTTGTCTTCATCTTTGTTTTCATCTTTGTCTTCGTCTTCCACCCAACCATGACCAACCCAACCCAACCATGGACAAACCCAACCCAACCCAACCTCTTCTTCCTCTTCCACCCAACTCAATTCAACCCAACCATGACCAACCCAACCCCCTCTTCATCTTCCTCTTCCACCCACCCATGACCAACCCAACCATGACCAACCCAACTTCTTCTTCCTCTTCCACTCAACTCAACCCAACCCAATTCAAACCAACCCAACTGAACCATGACCAACCCAACCCAACCCCCTCTTCCTCTTCCACCCAACTCAACCCAACCCAACTCAACCATGACCATCCCAAACCCGTCTTCCTCTTCCACTCAACTCAATCCAACCCAATTCAAACCAACCCAACTTAACCATGACCAACCCAACTCCCTCTTCCTCTTCCCGTTCCTCTTCCACCCAACTCAACTCAACCCAATCCAACCATGACCAACCCAACCCTCACTTCCTCTTCCTCTTCTTCCTCTTCTCTTCCACCCAACTCAACCCAACCCAACCATGACCAACCCAACCCTCAGTTCCTCTTCCTCTTCCACTCAACCATGACTGACCCAATCCAACCATGACCAACCCAACCGGCTCTTCCTCTTCCTCTTCCTCTTCCTCTTCCTCTTCCTCTTCCTCTTCCTCTTCCTCTTCCTCTTCCTCTTCCTCTTCCTCTTCCTCTTCCTCTTCCTCTTCCTCTTCCTCTTCCTCTTCCTCTTCCTCTTCCTCTTCCACCCAACCCAACCATGACCAACCAAACTCAACCCAACCCCCTGTTCCTCTTCCACTCAACCATGACCAACCCAACCCAACCATGACCAACCCAACCCAACCCCCTCTTCCTCTTCCCCTTCCTCTTCCACCCAACTCAACTCAACCCAACCATGACCAACCCAACCCCGTTTTCGTCTTCATCTTCGTCTTCCTCTTCCAACCCAACCATGACCAACCCAACCCCCTCGTCCTCTTCCACCCAACTCAACCCAACCGTGACTGACCCAACTCAACCATGACCAACCCACCCCCGTTTTCATCTTTGTCTTCATCTTTGTCTTCGTCTTCCACTCAACCATGACCAACCCAACCCAACCGTGACCAACCCAACCCAACCATGACCAACCCAGCCCAACCATGACCAACCCAACTCAACCCAACCGTGACTGACCCAACCCCCTCTTCCTCTTCCACTCAACTCAACCCGACCCAATTCAAACCAACCATGGCCAATTCAACCCCCTTTTCGTCTTCATCTTCATCTTCGTCTTCCTCTTCCAATCAAGCATGAGGAACTCAACCCAACCCAACCCAACTCAACCCAACCCAACCATGACCAACCCAACCCAACCATGACCAACCCAACCCAACCATGACCAAATCAACTCAACCATGACCAACCCAACCCAACCATGACCAACCCAACCCCCTCTTCATCTTCCTCTTCCAGCCAACCATGACCAACCCAACCCAACCCAACCCAACCCAACCCAACCCCCTCTTCCTCTTCCACCCAACCCAACTCAACTATGACCAACCCAACCCCCTCTTCATGTTCCTCTTCCTCTTCCAGTCAACCCAACCATGACCAACCCAACCCAACCCAACCGTGACCAACCCAACCCAACCATGAGCGATCCAACCAAACCCCGTCTTCGTCTTCGTCTTCGTCTTCGTCTTCGTCTTCGTCTTCGTTGTCTTCGTCTTCCACTCAACCCTGACCAACCCAACCCAACCCAACCCCCTCTTCCTCTTCCACTCAACCATGACCAACCCAACCAAACCATGACCAACCCAACTCAACCCAACCCTCTCTTCCTCTTCCACCCAACCCAACCATGACCAACCCAACCCCCTCTTCCTCTTCCTCCTCTTTGTCATCTTCCACCCAACTCAACTCAACTCAACCATGACCAACCCAACCCAACCATGACCAACCCAACCCAACCCCCTCTTCCTCTTCCACTCAACCCAACCATGACCAACCCAACCCTCAGTTCCTCTTCCTCTTCCAACCCAACCATGACCAACCCAACCCAACCCAACCCAACCCCGTTTTCGTCTTCACCTTCCTTTTCCTCTTCCAACCCAACCCAACCATGACCAACCCAACCCAACCCAACCATGACCAACCCAACTCAACCATGACCAACCCAACCCCCTCTTCACTTCCTCTTCCTCTTCCACTCAACCATGACCGATCCAACCCAACCATGACCAACCCAACCCAACCATGACCAACCCAACCATGACCAACCCAACCATGACCAACCCAACCCAACCATGACCAACCCAACCCCCTCTTCCCTTCATCTTCCACCCAACCATGACCAACCCAACCCAACCATGACCAACCCCACCCCAACCACCCCACCCCACCCCCACCGACCCTTTCCCCCCACCCCTCCCCTCCCCTCCACCGCCGTGAGCGCCGCAGAAATAAACTCCGGAATCTCCTTCCTCCAACCCTTCCCCTTCCAACACCGCCCAACCCCCTCCGCCGCCATCTTTAACCGCGAACTTCCCGCCTCCGGTGCCGCCGGCGCCGCCGATCGCCTCCAACCCGCCGCCGCCGCGCTGCCGCGCCCAAACGGCCGCGCCGGCGCCGCCGATCCGGCACAGGAGGCGCAGGGACCCCCCGGGGGGCTGGAGGTCACCCCCGGACTCCGTCAGGGTCACGGCCGCCCGGATCCCTGCGGGGAAAAATTGTCATGAATATTAATGAGATGTTAATGAGGTGGTCGGGGGTATTTAAATGAAGGGGGCGTGGCTCACCGGGAACGGCCAATAGGGTCAGGAGGGCCAAGATGGCGCCGGCGGCGCGGTCGGGGGTGGTGGGCGCCATCGCTGTCGGCAACGGCGGCGGGGACGGGGATTTATGGAGGGGGACACGCCCACTTTGGGGGGGACACGCCCCTTTTTTTGGGGGGACACGCCCACTTTTGGGGGGACACGCCCATTTTTTGGCCACGCCCACTTTTGGTGATGTCATTTTTTGGGTCACGCCCATTTTTTGGCCACGCCCACTTTTGGCCACGCCCACTTTTGGACATGTCATTTTTTGGATATGCCCATTTTTGGCCACGCCCATTTTGGGATATGTCATTTTTGGGTCACGCCCATTTTTGGCCACGCCCACTTTAAAAAATTCCATTTTTGTGACACTTCCATTTTTGGCCACGCCCACTTTTGGATATTCCATTTTTTGGGGATTTGCCCCATTTTGGCCACGCCCATTTTTGGCCACGCCCACTTTTGGCCACGCCCTTTTTGAGATGCAATTTTGGGGCCACGCCCACTTTTGGCCACGCCCACTTTTGGATATGCCATTTTGGGGCCACGCCCCTTTCAGACCACGCCCCCTTTTGGCCACGCCCACTTTTGGATATGCCAATTTGGGCCACGACCTCTTTTTTTGGCCACGCCCCTTTCAGACCACGCCCAATTTTGGCCACGCCCACTTTTGGAAATTCCCTTTTGGCCACGCCCACTTTTGATGACGTCATTTTTGGGACACGCCCATTTTTTGGGACACGCCCCCTTTGGAGGGACACGTCCCTTTTTTGGGGGGTTTGGCGGGGAAAGGGTTAATTGGACGGGGTTAATTAGTGGGTTTTGGGTAATTGGAGGGGTTGGGATGGTAATTAATGGGTCTGGGTTAATTACAGGGGTTTAATTAGTGGGGTTTGGGTAATTGAAGGGGTTTCGGTTAATTAATTATTGGGTCTCGGTTATTTGGAGGGGTTTAATTAATGGGTTTCAGTTAATTGCAGGGGTTTAATTAGTGGGTTTTGGATAATTGGAGGAGTTTAATTAGTGGGTTTCGGTTAATTTCAGGGGTTTAATTAATGGGTCTCAGTTAATTGCAAGATTCTGGTTCATTAATTAATGGGTCTCGGTTAATTGCAGGTGTCCACTTATTTAATTAATAGGGCCCAAATTATTTCTGGTTCATTAATTAAAAGGTCCCAGGTCCATTAATTAATAGGTCCCATTTAATTACAAGAGTTCAGTTCATTAATTAATGGGTCTGAGTTAATTGCAAGTGCCCACATAATTAATTAATAGGTCCCAATTAATTTCTGGTTCATTAATTAATAAGTCTCAGTTAATTGCAAGAGTCCGGTTCATTAATTAATAGATCAAATTAAATGAATTAATTATTATTGTAGGCATCCGTTTCATTAATCAATAGCTCCCAGTTAATTGCCAGAGTCCAATTAATTAATTAATGGGCTCGGTGGTAATTTCAGGCATGTAATTAATTAATTAATTAATGGCTAATTTGTCCACGTAAATAATTAATGAATGGCTCATTGTTAACCACAGGCATCCGTTTAATTAATTAATTAATTAATCTGCGTTAATCACTGGCAACCCATATGTTAATTAATTGGGATCAAGAAGCCTAATTAATTAATTATAATAGGGGATAATCACAGGCGTAATTAATTAATTAATTAATTAGAGGTTAATTATGATCCATCACGGGGGTTCGGATTAATTAATTAATCGGGGTTAATCAAAGGAACGCAATTAATTAATTGCTCAATAAAGGTACTTAATTAATCACAGGTACTTAATTGTTTATAATATAATAAAAAACAATTATTTAAAATTTTATTTAAAACTTCATTTAATAATTTCTTTAATTAGAAATCCACTACCGGCCAAATCTAATTAATTAATTAACAAACAACCACAATCACGCCAGCCACCCTAATTAACTGATTAATTAATTAATCAACTCATTAATTAGCTGAACAGACCTCCAATTAATCAATTAATGGATTAAAAGCGATTAAATGGTGGAAAAAACCGATTAAATAAATAATCAGCGAGGCGGAATTAATTAATTAATCGCGTTAATTATTGGTGACGTCATCGCCGCCGATTTTTTTGGGGCGGGAAAATCCAAATTCGGCCGCCAGAGGGCGCCGAGAGAGCGAAATTTGGGCGATTTTGGGGCCAAAAATGCGAATTTTGGGCAAATCTTCGAGATTTGCGGCCAAAAATGTGAATTTTGGGCAAAGATTTGGGGCCAAAAATGCGAATTTTGGGCAAAGCTTTGAGATTTGGGGCCAAAAATCTGATTTTTGGGCAAAGCTTTGAGATTTGGGGCCAAAAATGTGAATTTTGGGCAAAGCTTTGAGATTTGGGGCCAAAAATGGGAATTTTGGGCAAAGTCCAAAGATTTGAGGCCAAAAATGTGAATTTTGGGCAAAGCTTTGAGATTTGGGGCCAAAAAAGCGAATTTTGGGCAAATCTTTGAGATTTGGGGCCAAAAAATGTGAATTTTGGGCGAAGAACGAAGATTTGGGGCCAAAAATGTGAATTTTGGGCAAAGCTTTGAGATTTGGGGCCAAAAATGCGAATTTTGGGCAAAGCTTTGAGATTTGGGGCCAAAAATGCCAATTTTGGGCAAAGCTTTGAGATTTGGGGCCAAAAATGCGAATTTTGGGCAAAGGCCAAAGATTTGGGGCCAAAAATGCGAATTTTTGCATCTTTTGCCCCAAATTCCCCTAAATTGGCCCCAAAAATTTCCCAAATTGGCCCCAAACTCCCCCAAATTTACCCCAAATTTGCCCCAAAATCCCCCAAATTTGCCCCAAATTTAATTCCCAGGATTGGCCCCAATATCCCCCAGATTTGCCCCAAATTTCTCCAAATTTTCCCAAAAATCACCCAAATTTGCCCCAAATTCCCCCAAATTGGCCCCAAAATTCCCCAAATTTGCCCCAAATTCCCCCAAATTGGCCCCAAATTGAATTCCTTAGATTGGTCCCAAATTCCCCCAAATTGGCCCCAAATTTCCCCAAATTGGCCCCAAATGTCCCCAAATTTGCCCCAAATTTGCCCCAAAATCCTCCAGATTTGCCCCAAATTTAATTCCCAGGTTTGGCCCCAAATTGCTCCAAATGGTCCCCAAAATTCTCCCAGATTGGCCCCAAATTTCCACAAATTGGCCCCAAATTCCCCCAAATTTGCCCCAAAATCCCCCAAATTGGCCCCAAAATCCCCCAAATTTGCCCCAAATTTAATTCCTTGGATTTGTCCCAAATTTTCCCCAAATTGGCCCCAAATTTTCCCCAAATTGGCCCCAAATTTTTCCCAAAATCCCCCAAATTTGCCCCAAATTTAATTCCCTGGATTGGCCCCAAATTCTCCCGAATTTGTCCCATATTCCCCCGAATTGGCCCCAAATTCCTCCAAATTTGTCCCAAAATCCCCCAAGTTTGCCCCTAATTCAACTCCCCTGGATTTGCCCCAAATTTCCCCCAAATTGCCCCAAATTTGTCCCAAATTCCCCAAAATTCTCCCCAAAATTCCCAGGATTGGACCCAAAATCAGCTCCCCTGGATTGGCTCCAAATTCCCCCAAACTGCCCCAAAATCCCACAAATTGGCCCCAAAATCCCACAAATTTGCCCCAAATTTAATTCCCTGGATTGGTCCCAAATTCCCCCAAATTAGTCCCAAATTCCCACAAATTGGCCCCAAATTTCCTCGGATTGGCCCTAAATTTGGGGCCGTGACCCTGCTGGAGTCCGGGGGCACCTCCAGCCCCCCGGGGGGTCCCTGCGCCTCCTCTGCCGCGGCTCCGGCTTCGATTTTGGGAATTTTGGGATGGGCTGGATCCGACAGAGACCCGGGCAGGGGCTGGAATACGTGGCAGGGGTCAACGGTGACAGTGCCAGGGCTTGGTACGCGCCGTCGGTGCGGGGCCGGTTCAGGATCTCCCGGGACAACGGGCAGAGCTCGGTGACGTTGGCCATGAACAGCCTCAAGGACGACGATTCCGCCCTTTATTTCTGCGCCAAAATTGCCACTGCTGGTTATTGGGGCCCTGCTGATGGTGACGATGTCGGTGCTGACCCCACCCCAGGCCCTGAGCCCACAAACATCCCCAAATTCCCACATTCTCCCCCAAATCTCAGCTGCTGTTGGCACCAAACCGTGACCGTTTCCCCCAAACTCTCTCGTTTCTCTGTCGCTTTCAGCTTTGACCCAAATCTCACAGGTTCACCCCAAAACTCTGCCTTTTGTGCCCCAGATCTCAGTGGGGGTCACTGCTGACCACCGGACCCAAACCCGGCTGGTTCTGCCCCAAATCTCAGCTGCCGGCACCAAACCTCAGCTCTGGGCGCCGAGGCTCAGCCGAGGGCCCCAAACCGGGGTGCAAAGGGGCGAGATTTGGGGTCAGAGGGGCAGATTTGGGGTCAGAGGGGCAGATTTGGGGCCATGGGGCAGATTTGGGGTCAGAGGGGCAGATTTGGGGTCAGAGGGGCAGATTTGGGGCCAAGAGTTGGGATTTCAGACCAAGACCTGGGATTTGGGGCCGAGAGTTGGGATTTGGGGCCAAGAGTTGGGATTTGGGGCCAGGAGGGACACAGTGATGGGGGTGGGGGCAAAACCACCCCAAAGACGTTAATTATCGATATCCTCATTAGCAGCCCAACCAGCACCAGCAGCGGCATATTTGGCGCAGAAATAAACAGCGGAATCGTCGTCCTTGAGGCTGTTCATGGCCAACGTCACCGAGCTCTGCCCGTTGTCCCGGGAGATCGTGAACCAGCCCTTGACCGACGGCGCGTAGTTGGTCCAACCACCGCTGTTGATGTACGCAACGTATTCCAGCCCCTGCCCGGGTCTCTGGCGGATCCAGCCCATCCCAAAATTCCCAAAATCGAAGCCGGAGGCGCGGCAGAGGAGGCGCAGGGACCCCCCGGGGGGCTGGAGGTGCCCCCGGACTCCAGCAGGGTCACGGCCGCCGCAGCCCTGCGGGGACAGGGGCAGATGGGGACGGGAAAAGCTCCAAACTGACCCAAATCCTGACTCGGGGACTCTTTTCCCTGCCAGGCCTCAAATCTTCACCATTTTCTTCCAAATTCAGTCCCAAATCTTGACTTTTCTCCTCCAATTTTGACCATTTCCCCCAAAATCTCAGTCTCCCTCTCACCCTGGGAGCGTTTCCCCAGAACCGTCCCCCAAATCTCAGCTTTTCACCCCAAATTTCCACCATGACAGTCGGCTGGAAAATCCCCCTGGGGAAGCCCCAAATCCGCAATTCTGGCCCTAAAATTCAGCTGTGGGCACCAAATCCTGAGGTTTAACCCCAAAAATTCCCCAAAAAATGAAAACGAGGGGCTGAGAGTTGGGAATTTGGGGGAGAATTGGGGAGATTTGGGGCAAATCGGTTCAGGGGTTGGGACAGAGGGGCAGGAATGGGGTCGGGGTTGGGGTCCCGGGGGTGTTTTGGGGCTCGTTAATGAGCTGTTAATTGGGGGAGAGTCGCGGGGAACATTTGGGGAAGTGAAACGGAGATTTTGGTGCAGCTGCCGCTCTGTGAAACTCCCGCAGCAAAGGCCAAAGGAACCCCAGGAACCTCCCGACGCCCTGAGGGAAACCAGAACCACCAAAAGTGTGAAATGGGTCGCAGAGAGCAGCGCCGGGTCGCACACGGGACGGAAATTTGGGGTTTGGGACTTTGAGGGGGTTTCAGATGAGTTCAGGGTGGAGGACATTGGGGGTTGTCTCCTTTCTTCTCTCTTCTGCTTCTTTCTCCTCAGCTTTAGGTGGTGTCTCCAATTTGGGTGGAAAAATCCACACTGGGGGTTTTTGGGGGTCAGTTATTGGGTTAGAAAAGGAAATAATTTCGGTGTAAATTCTTAATTGTGTGGTTTAGTTTTTAATTAGACTGAAAAGGCCTCGGAAGAAGCGATTGGTGCCGTTTTTGGGCGGTTTTGCTGCACGCAGAGTCGGGTGCCCACACGGTGCTGAAGTTTTGATGAGATATCCATGAACAAACCCTGAGGATGGAAAAAGGCGAATGAATCTCCGGTTCCCGGCACAGAAAAGCTCCAGGAGGGTCTGTCCTGACAGGGGAGTCCCCAGAGAGTCCCAAACTCACCCCGGGACTGCAGCAGGGTCACGGCCGCCTGAGCAACGTGGGGAAAGGTGCCCCGAGTGAGGATTTGGGTCAGTTTGGAGCTTTTCCCGTCCCCATCTGCCCCTGTCCCCGCAGGGCTGCGGCGGCCGTGACCCTGCTGGAGTCCGGGGGCACCTCCAGCCCCCCGGGGGGTCCCTGCGCCTCCTCTGCCGCGCCTCCGGCTTCAATTTCGGGAGTTTTGGGATGGGCTGGGTCAGACAGAGACCCGGGCAGGGGCTGGAATGGGTCGCCAGTATCGGCAACAACGGTGCCAGCACCTATTACGCGCCATCGGTCAAGGGCCGGTTCACGATCTCCCGGGACAACGGGCAGAGCTCGGTGACGTTGGCCATGAACAGCCTCAAGGACGACGATTCCGCTGTTTATTTCTGCGCCAAATATGCCGGTGCTGGTGCTGCTGGTGCTGCTGCTGGTGACAATCCTGGTGCCGGCCTGTCCCCCAGGCCCTGAGCCCACAAACATCCCCAAATTCCCACATTCTCCCCCAAATCTCAGCTGCTGTTGACACCAAACCGTGACCGTTTCCCCCAAACTCCGCCGTCACCGCCCCAACAGTTGGGATTTGAGGGACCAAACTGAGCTCAGGGTGGGACCGGCCCTGGTTTGGGGCCAAGAGCTGAGATTTGGGGCCAAGAGTTGGGATTTGGGTCAAGAGTTGGGA